AAAAAAAAAAAAAAAAAAAGATTTGTATGTGGATACTTCTGGGATCAAACAGACAGGAGAGTGGACACTCCTGAGTCATCTAGACTGGATAGTGGACATTCTTAGGATCACATATACCAGGATGTAGAAATCCCAGTGGTCAGATAGTCTGAGGTGACTATTCTGGGTTCACACACAGATTGGAGTGTGAAAGCTCTTGGGATCTCAGACTAGAATATGAGCATCTCTGGGGTGAAGAAGAGGGGGATGTGGGCACTCTTGGGCTCAGACAGCCTAAGATGGAGGCAACTGTGAGGTCAATCAGTGTGTGGTAGACAGATGTGGGGTCACAAAGATAGGGACATGAATACCCCTGGAATCAGACTGGCAAGTGGACAGACTTGGGGTCACATTGATAGAGGAATGAACGATCTAAGACTGACCCAACTGGAAAGTGGACACTCCCATGGTCACACAGAGGGAGTTTGGGACACTCTTAATGTTAAACACACTAAGGAATGGACAATACTGAAGTCACATACATTGTGGAAGGGACACTCTTTTTTTTTTTTTTTTTGAGACAGAGTCTCAAGCTGTCCCCCTGAGTAGAGTGCTGTGGCATCACATCTCACAGCAACCTCCAACTCCTGGGCTCAAGCAAGTCTCCTGCCTCTGCCTCCCAAGTAGCTGAGACCACAGGCGCCTGCCACAACGCCCGGCCATTTTTTGGTTGTAGCCATGATTGTTGTTTGGTTGCCCGGACTGGATTCGAACCCGCCACCTTAGGTGTATGTGGTTGGTGCCTTAGCCACTTGAGCCACAGGTGCCAAGCCGATGGAACACTCTTAATCTTACACTGACTGGGGTGTGGACACTCCTGGGGTCAGAGTGACTAAGGTGGGGACAGTCCTGTGGTCACCTAGGTGGCGTTATGGACACTCCTTTAGTCTGTGATAGAGGAGTAGACATTCCTATGGTCACAGAAATGATGAGTTGACATCTGTGGACACTCCTGTGGTCACACAGAACAGTTCATGGACAAGCCTTGGTATACAGACTTAGGAATGAATACTGCTAAGGTCATAGAAACCACAGTGTGGGCAGCCCTTGGGTTATACATTCTGGGATGGGGATGTGAATTCTCCTGGGGTCACACAGACTGGATGTGGACATCCCTGGGATCTCATAAATGGGTTAACGCACCCTGAAAAGTGTACATACCTGTGATCACATAGAAATGGCAGCAGACTGTCACGGAGTCCCACACACTGGGGAGTCCTGGAATCACTCACATGGGGGTTTGAACACTGACATATGCTGGGGTGTTGACCTTCCTGGGTCACACAGACTGGGACACTGCTGGTGTCTCAGTTTTCAGGGTAGACATTCCTGCAATTACACATACTAGTGTGTGGACACAACTATTGTCACAAAGATTAGAGTTTGGACGCTTCTAGAGTCACACACCCTGGGATGGGAACACTCTCTGGCATTGCACACGAGTATGCACACTCATGATGTTGCATAGACTGGTAAGTGGGCACTCCTGGGATCACACCATCTGCCCATTTAGGAGATAGTTCATCAAATCACAGTTTTCGTCTGGAAGAATCACATTTGTGTTTGCTCTGATCTCATGATGGCCCCATGCTATCATTCAGAGAGCCTTTTAAAAGTTGCTAATGTTAATTTTGCAGATACGAAACCAAACCAAGCCCTCCCTGCTTCTCCCTTTTAACTCAAGGTTAATGGATATTTTATTTAGGACTAACAGCTTCTCTCTGCCTCCCATGTTAAGACATCCAAAGAGCCAGGGACAATAAATTTGGTCCTCCCAAAGGTGCCCACTTCTCTCCAATTTTCTTGACAGAAAATAGCAAAATTCCAATTGGTCACACGAGACAAGGAAGGCTAGAAAAGCACATTTCAAACATCCCCAGAGGGAGCATGAAATCTGAGAAAGGCCCTTACGGGTGGAAAGCTAACACCCCGGACCAAGCCTCCTCAGCACACTCTCTTACAAAACCAGGGTGAATTGCCCAAGAACAGTCCCAAAGTTTCTGTGAAATTTGCAAAGGATGTTCCCATCCCAAGTGGGACCCTGCACATCTTCTGCAGCATGGGTGGAAAGTACAGGGGCAGTGACAAAAGTCTTTTTTTTTATTGAATCGTAACTTTGTACATTGATGCATTTATGAGGTTCAGTGTACTGCTTTGATATACAGCGTGAAATGCTTACATTGAACTAAGTAACACATCCATCACAATTATACTCATTTCTTAATAGTTTTGAAATGTACCTTTGCATCATGCACATTAGGTGAGAAATGTCTTTGTCTTGGCTCAAAGCAGCAGGACTGTGGGGCCCAGACCCTGGAGCCCTGAGTAACTGCAGTGGAGTAGGCAAGTAGGTTTCACTGTCTTGTGAAATCTCCTGGAAACCTGAGGTAAGGTGAGGTGAGGTCCAAGAGGGGACTGGGAACCTGTGGGGCTTGGAAGACATTGTGTGAAGAGTGGTTGTTGCTCTGGAGGGATTTTTGAGCAGAAGAGTGGCCTGGTCTGATTTGTGTCATAGGCCTCTGTGTGGAAGAGATTGCAGGTGGGCAGGGCCAGAAGCAGGGAAACCGGGCGAGGACGCCTTTGCAATAATTCAGGCCGAGCTGGTGGTGGCTGAGGGGAGTTGTAAGACATGGTCACATTCTGGAAATGGGAGTTGTGGGAGATGGATGGATGGAGGGAAAGGAGTCAAGAAAGACTCCTAGGGCTGGGGCTGGAACATCTGGATGATGCCATTGTCCCCAAGATGGTGAGGACAGGGAATTTGAACTGAATTCTCTCTAACTCCCAGTCCTAAGGCATAAGGTGAACTTGATGTTTTGGCTTCAGATCTCTTAGTTCCCCTCCTGTAAATCTTATCTAGAAAGAGAAGATCTGTTCACCTATCCATCCAATCATTTATTCATTCATTCATTTGTATCATTTAATGATCATTAGTATCCACCATGTGGCAAACATGACAGGCACAGTAGATATGAGGGTTAATTAGACTCACACCTTGCACTCAAGAAACTCGTTCTTGGGCTCAGCGCCCGTGGCTCAAGCGGCTAAGGTGCCAGCCACATACACCTAAGGTGACAGGTTCGAATCCAGCCCGGGCCCGCCAAACAACAATGACAGCTGCAACCAAAAAATAGCTGGGTGTTGTGGCAGGCACCTGTAGTCCCAGCTACTTGGGAAGCGGAGGCAGGAGACCCGCTTGAGCCTGGGAGTTGGAGGTTGCTGTGAGCTATGATGCCACAACACTCTACCCAGGGTGACAGCTTGAGGCTGTCTCAAAAAAAAAAAAAAAAAAAAAAGAAACTCATTCTTGGGTGAAGATTGAGAGATCAGCCATTCTTCCACATCTATTCAGTCATTCAGTCATTTATTCACTCAACAAATGTTTATTAGAACTTAATTTCTGGCAAGCAGGCATCGTAGTAGGGATAGAGGTAGTTTGATTTTGCCCTTAAGAAAATCCTGGGCTAGGGTGATGGCTCACGCCTGTAATCCCAGCATTTGGGAGGCCAAAGCAGGTGGATTGCCTGAGCTCATGGGTTCGAGACCAGACTGAGCCAGAGCGATACCTTGTCTCTAAAAATAGCTGGGCATTGTGCTCTGAGCCCATAGTCCCAGCTACTTGGGAGGCTGAGGCAAGAGAATTGTTTAAGCCCAAGAATTTGACGTTGCTGTTAGCTGTGACACTGCGGCACTCTACCAATGGCTACAAAGTAAGACTCTGTCTCAAAAAAACAAAAAAAAAGAAAGAAAGAAAATCCTAGTCGAATTGGAAGGCCTGTGGTTAGTCATCCTCACTCATTAGTTCATTCATTGGATCACTGAAGAGTCACCAACATGCAGCATGTACCAGGGTCTGGGAGAGAACCTGGAACACCTGTTGGATGACACAACAGTGGGCTCCAGTGAGTGTCTCCAAGCAGCAAGTTCTCCCTCAACAGGCCTGGCCTCCCTACTAGGATTCCATCTGCTGCTCTCACCATGTGAGCAAGTTGCCAAAGTTCATTGTACCATCTCCCCACAGCATGCTGGGGACTAACTCTGATTTTATCTTCCTACAGAAAACCATGAGCCCATCTATTCGAGTGACCACCATCACAGACATCTGCCCAGGCCCCATCTGATCTTTCTTGACACCTGCAGGTGCCAGACTCCAAGATGTGCCCACTCTGGAGGCTCCTCATCCTCCTTGGATTGCTGGCCTTGCCCTTAACACTGAACAAGAAGCCATTGCCTGGCCTGGCCAAAGCCCACATAAACAGCAAACCTACCCTGGCAAGAAGTAAGCTAAGCCCCAAGCTCTGCCTGATGTCCACAGGGTGGGTGGGAAAGCATCTGGACCCTACCAGTGACCTGCTGAGTGACTTCAGGACAGTCATTTAGACTCTTCCTTTTTTTCTTAGAACTTAAGTACAGAAAATTGAGTTTGGATTGATTATATGCTTCATTATATTAGATCATCATTAGATGACCCCTCTTGTGTTTGATTTTATGTTATTTTCCTCCTTTATCCCTTATCTTCATTCCCATGTCCTTGCTGCCTTGGCAGGCACTGCTGTGCATTTAATGTATGTATTTAAATATGCCTATATCCTTGTGCATGTGGTATTTTGATTTATGTAATTGTATTGCCATATATATCTCATTCTGGTTTTTTTTTTTTTTTTCAGTTTTTGGCTGGGGATGGGTTTGAACCTGCTACCTCAAGCATATGGGTCCGGCACCCTACTCCTTTGAGCCACAGGAGCTGGCCTCTCATTCTGTTTTTTACTGTTTTCACTGGACACTATTGCTGTGGACATCCATGTTGTTTTAGCTGGTGTAGAGAGGTCAACAAGATTCATCTGCCTCAGTTTTATTTGGCTTTTCCCCTAGGGACAGACACTTAGGTTGTCTCTAACGCCACTATTATATCAGCTACACTGAGATGAGCATCCTTGTACGTGTCCCTGTTAGAACCTGTTGGAGAATATATCTGGGATATACCCAGGAGGATGTAAAGTCAATTTAACTAAGGTTGCCAGAATTCTCTTTCAGAATGGCTGAGCTGGTCTATACTTACTCTAATAATAAATGAGTCTCCCCATGTTCTCCAACACTGGAAAATATTCATCTGTATCAGTCTGCTAGGGCTGTCGTCACAAGATACCACAGATTGGGTAGCTTAAGTAAGAGACACGTATTTCTCACAGTTGTGGAGGCTGGAAGTCCAAGATCAAGGTGCCAATAGGGGTGCTTTCTGGTGAGGCCTCTCTCGCTGAATGCAGATGGCCACCTTCTTGATTTATCTTCACATGGCCTTTTCTCTGCCCAGAGAAAGAGATCTCTGGTGTCTCTTCTTCTTATAAGGACATTAGTCCTATAAGAAGTCCCAGTTTAGGGCCCCACCTTCATTCAAACTTAATTACCTTCTAAAGGCCCTATCTCCAAATACGGGGAGGGAAGAACACACCTCTGTCTACAAAACCATCTTCATGAATTTTTGCCAGTTTTATGTGTAGTTGAGTGATCTCTAATTGTTTTAGCTTGACTTTATCTGATTAGTGGGCAAGTCGAACACCATAAGTTTGTTAACCATTCTGACTTCTTTGCATTCCCTGATCTTTTGCCATTTTTCTATTTGCTTGCTTACCTGTTTATTTTTATTTTTATTTTTGAGACAGGAGCCTCAAGCTGTCCCCCTGGGTAGAGTGCTGTGGCATCACATCTCACAGCAACCTCCAACTCCTGGGCTCAAGCAAGTCTCCTGCCTCTGCCTCCCGAGTAGCTGGGACCACAGGCGC